TTCAAAATGGGGCTCTCGCCTGGGACTCATGTTTGATTTGATGACCAGAAGTTGAACCTTGTACAAAAGCTACATGGATCCAGGGCGGTTCATTTTCGAAGCGAGGACGCCGCCAGGCACTTCCTCGGCTCCGGCTGGATTCCCGAGGAGCATGCATCCTTGGCGACGCAAACGCTGCCTCAGAGGCCCAAACACTGCGTAAGAGATCCAAAAACATCACACCCCGAACCTCGAACCACAAACCATGACCATCCTTTCTGGAAGGGAGCCCGTCCCCAGACACCCTCCAGGGTCCACCATGGCTAGATTCGTGGATGCCACGACAATGGACACCCTAACAGTCCTATCATCGAATTAAACATGTATTCAAAATGTCATGAAAATGTCCTGAAAATGTTTAAAACATGTTGTACATGTTAAACGCAGTGTTTGCACATCACCACCACCACCACCACCATTATCATCATCATCATCATCATCATCATCATCATCATCATCATCATCATCATCATCATCATCATCATCATCATCATCATCATCATCATCATCATCATCATCATCATCATCATCCTCATCATCCTCATCCTCATCCTCATCCTCATCATCAGCATCATCATCATCAACGTCATCAGCATCATCATCAGCAGCTGCACCAGCATCAGCATCAGCATCAGCATCATCATCAGCAGCAGCATCAGCATCAGCATCATCAGCAGCATCAGCATCAGCATCAGCATCGGCATCATCATCATTCTAATACTCATCATCATCAGCAGCATCATCATATGCATCATCATCATCATCATCAGCTTCATCATCACCACCACCATCACCATCACCATCATTCGCAGCAGCATCATCATCAGCATCATCAGCATCATCAGCAGCAGAATCATCACCATCACCATCACCATAACCACCATCTCCATCAGCATTATCAGCATCGTCTTCGTCATCATCCTCATCATCATCATCATCATCATCATCATCATCAGCGTCATCAGCATCACCATCACCATAATCGTGGTCGACAGCATCAGAATCATCATCATCGTCAGCAGCATCATCAGCATCATCAGCATCATCAGCATCATCAGCATCCTAATCCTCATCAGCATCATCATCAGCAGCAGCATCATCGTCGTCATCATCATACTGGTGCTCCCCCTCCATTCTCATCACCCCTGAAGGTCCCTCCTCATGCCTCTTCTGCTGCCTTCTCCACCTCATCAGCCTCCTCCTCCTCCTCCTCCTCGTCCTCGTCCGCCACATCGTCCGCCTCTGCGTACAACTACCCCACCCTCCAACCTCCTCCTCCTCCTCCTCCCTCTTCTCCTCCTCCTCCTCCTGTCCCTCCTCCTCGTCCTCCATCCTTCTTCCTTACAAGTGACTCCTCCCTGTCGCACCACGAAGCGTGTCCGCAGGCCAGACTGGGCGCCTCGCTTGAGACTTCCTGACAAGTCGTCATCCCGAAGCAGAACAAGTTCCAACGATTGCGCGGATGTAGGGCCCGTCGTTTTCAAAATGTGGCTCTCGCCAGAGCGCCGCGCACATACGTCTTCAAAACCTCCAACAGTTCTATGGAAGGACGGCCAGTCGTTCTAAGACGAGGTTCTCGCACTAACGCCGCGCACATTCGTCTTAAAAGCTTCCAACTGCTACACGGATGAAGGCCGGTCGTTTTCGAAATCGCCTCGGAATTCCTTAAAAAACGATAAGTGTTGAATTTTGCGACACTTACACGGATGGAAAGCCGCTCCTTTTCAAAATGGGGCTCTCGCCCGGGACTCATGTTTGATTTGATGACCAGAAGTTGAACCTTGTACAAAAGCTACATGGATCCAGGGCGGTTCATTTTCGAAGCGAGGACGCCGCCAGGCACTTCCTCGGCTCCGGCTGGATTCCCGAGGAGCATGCATCCTTGGCGACGCAAACGCTGCCTCAGAGGCCCAAACACTGCGTAAGAGATCCAAAAACATCACACCCCGAACCTCGAACCACAAACCATGACCATCCTTTCTGGAAGGGAGCCCGTCCCCAGACACCCTCCAGGGTCCACCATGGCTAGATTCGTGGATGCCACGACAATGGACACCCTAACAGTCCTATCATCGAATTAAACATGTATTCAAAATGTCCTGAAAATGTCCTGAAAATGTTCAAAACATGTTGTACATGTTAAACGCAGTGTTTGCACATTGTTTGGACATGTGGAAGTCATTTGGCAGCATGCTTCCTCTCGAGTTGATCGTCCTCCACAAGGCCAGATTCCCACGCCGCGTCCAGCCGTGGAGACTGACACCTCAGACGAGAAGAACAGAGACCTCCCAAACGGCTCGACGTCGACGACAGCGTGAACGTCGGCGCCGACGACATCGCCGACGTCCGCAACGACGGCGACGGCGACGACGACGACGAGGACGACGACGACCACGACGACGGCGGCGACGACGACGACGACCACGACCACGACCACGACCAGGACGACCACGGCCACGACGACCACGACCGCGACGACCACGACGACGAAGTCCAGGACGCAGTCGTCGCCGCCGTCGGGGCCGCAGGGGCAGCCTCAGGCGCTCCTCCGCCTCCTCGAGCCCCGTGAGCCCCAGCTCGCGGGCGGCGCTCAGCCGCCCCCGCAGGAGCTCCACGTCGGAGCCCCCCTGGGCCTCCCGGCGCTGTCGGCAACGACGACGACGAGGACGACGACGACGACGACGACGACGACGACGACGACGACGACGACGACGATGACCGAGGTCCACCATTCGGGATGCTCGACAAGCAGCGCGCCAAACTCTCGCCATTGTCCGAATGCAGGAGTCGTTCCCAGGCCCCAGGGCCGTCAAAACCGACTCAGGGTGCAGAGACTGTCCCAGTGGGAAGGGTCGAGAGCTCTGGGGGTGACTGGCCAGTGCTCCTAGACGAGTCCAGCCGTGACGACGAGAACCTCCAGAAACGCCCGAAAGCCTCCAACTCCACCACACAACGACAACGACGACGCGGAGGAGGAGGGAGGAGGAGAACAACGACGACGACGACCACCACGACGACGACAACGACCACGACGACGACCACGACGACGACGAAAACGGGGCACAGAGGGAGGGAGAGAGCGAGGGGATGTCAGTAACCAGAGTTTCGCCACGCGTTTGCTCGAGGATGCCGAGTGTTGCCAGTCCCCGGCGGGTGCCATGGGCAAGCGGCGGGGGGGTGGGGGGTAGGGAGGAGAAGGGTCTTCCGGCGAGGGGGCACCGCGCCAAAAAGACATGCGGGATTCGGGGGGGCGGTGGGAAGGAGCGGGGAGCAAAGGCCGGAGGAACGGGGAACGGCCGGCGGGAGTGCAGGGAGCAGCGGGGGGGGGGAGGGGCGGAGGGGCGGGAGGACACCAGAGAGGCGAGGGGGACGAGGGCAGACACGGGCAACCAACGACAGCCATGATGCCCCTGGGGTGCATGCCTCGTCGGTCGCAGGCCAGGCAGGACAGCCCCACCCTGCGTTGAACATCTGAGGAGCGAGGAGCGAGGAGCGAGAAGCTTTTCGACGTCGAAAAAACGCAGGGCGACGGCCACGACAGAGAGTAGGGGGCGCGGCGGCCCTGGCAAATAGGCTAGGGAAAGCTAATTGTGCACAGCTTGCGCGTCGCTTGGCGACCCTCCAAGACTCTCGACTGGACCAGCCTGGAGCGGCGCGGCGCAACATCCCCTCCCCCCTCACTCCGACCTCCGCCACCATCCCTGGTCGTTGCCGCCTCGGGCCCTGGGATGGTGCAGACAAGCATCTGGCCTCGGGAGGGCCTGCACACCATCACTGGGTCCAGGCTGGCCCTGTCCAGGGTCGGCGGTGGTGGTCCATGGCTGCCTACTGTGGAGGCCACCCGGACCAGGGGCGGGGCGCATTGCGCCGAAGATCGCGCCGCCTGGATCCTGTGGGCAAGGGTGTAAGTCGGGCGTGTCCCCCTACAGGGAGATTCTCGACGGGAAAAAAAATGGTCAACAAATACTCCAAAAAGGCCCAAAAAAAAATACTCGAGAAATAGTCCCCGCACTATTTGTTTGGCTATCCTTGAATTTTCCTCCTGTAGAGGGACAGGCCCGACGTAAGGCAAAGGGGGAGAGACGGGGGAGCAAAAACACTCTCAACGGCACGCCGCCGCGGGGAGCCCACCAGCGCGCCACTGCCGAGAGAGAGCACCATGCCCTCGGGCACGAGCGAGGCAGTGGCGCGCAGACGGGCTCCCAACGGAGGCGCGTCACCGATGCTCGCTCTCCCTGCGGACACCGTCGCGTCAAGAGCCGATGCGCGCAACCGGGCTCCGTGGCCCGTCACCGTGGCGTCAAGAGCCGGTGCGGCTCTGGAGGAAGGAAGCCCTGCATGGACACAGACTTTTGGAGGTCCGCTCGGATTTCCTGGCTCTGCGCCGAAGCCCCCTCCCTGGCGCCACGGGGGCCCAGCGCGCGGGGACCTCCGAGAGTCGATGTCGGTGCCGTCTCTTCCTCTACGAGGTGCGGCTCGGCGCGCGCGCGCGTCGGCGATGCAATTTGCTCCCCCGACCCCATCTACTCGGACCCCCGACATCCGCCGATACGATTTTTCCAATCCGCAGCCCTAGAGGTCCCGTCCCGACCCCTTCCCACGGGGAGTCTCTCTTTGCGACGGCATCGGAGCAACGAACAAAACTTCACAGAGCTGATGGGTATCGGATACCCAAAACGGTGGGGATACCCGGTATCCCCACCGTTTTGGAATCCCCACCGTTTTGGACAGCCCCTGGGCCCGATAACGAGCCCCTGAGGCCGAAATCCAGGGTCACCATCGCGGATCGAAAGAATCAGATCCTCGGATCTCCGGGACCTTAGTGGGCCCCGGAAACGGCAGGGCCGTTGTCTGGGAGGCCTATAGACTGAGACGAAGCCCGCCGCCCAACCGTCCGCCGGCTCGGCGGATCGAAAGAATCAGATCCTCGGATCTCCGGGACCCCCTCTGGGAGGCCGGGCTCAGACGAGGCCCGCCGTCCAAGCGTCCTCCGGCTCGGCGGATCGAAAGAATCAGATCCTCGGATCTCCGGGACCCCCTCTGACAAGAGGATGATGTGGCTGACAGGCTTCACGATGCCTTGACGCCCTCGGCCGGAGGCCGAGAAAGTAGTAAAAGGTGTGGAAGAGACCACCCTGGAGCCGCCGCGAGGCCACCCCGGGGTGGAATCCGCCGACCCCTTGTAGGTCTCTAGGCGTGTGAGATAGTTCCCCCCCCTCTAGTCCCCCCCTGGGACCCCCAAACCGGCGATTTGACCCCCCCCTGATGGCCCCCCCCCCCGGCCCGGCACGAGCGACTCACGGAGCTTTTTCGGGCCCAAGAGGGCCCCAAGACGGGCCCAGAAGGCCCCAAGTGGCCTCCAAGACGGGCCACGAGGTCCCCGAGACGCCAATTGGGCGCTCGAAAACGCCCAAGATGGCCTCAAGTCGGGCCCCGAGGCCTCCAAGACGGCCCCAGAGGTCCCACATAAGCCTCCCAAGATGGCCCCGAAATGCTAAAACTGGTGATTTTCCATTATGTTTTACGGTATTTGTTGCCTTTTCGCCGTTTCGGCTTCCCGACGCTCCAACACGGCCCCCGAGGCCCTGAATACCGCCCCGAAACGGTTCAAGAGGCCCCCAAGATGGCCCCAAGACGGCCCTAGAGGCGCCGAAAACGCCCCAAGAGGGCCCCAAGACGGGCCCAAGAGGGGGCCAAGAGGGGGGAAACAAATCTCAATTCGAGGCTTCGGCCCCCAGGCGCCCCCAGGAAGCCCCAAGAGGTCCCCCAAGAGGCACCCAAGAAGCCCCCAAGAGGCCCCAAGCAGGCCCCAAGAGGCCCAAAAGAGGCACCCAAGAGGCCCAAAATAGCTCCCAAAGGGCCTCCAAAGCATGGGCGGTACCATTTGAGACACACGGACGACGTACCTCGCGCGGTACTTGGTCGGTACCATTTGAGGTATCCGAGAGGCCGACCACGAGATCCGAAATAATATTCCACTGGCCTCAGACTCACAGCCCCGGCACGGCAGCGGGATTCGCGGGACGCGCCTCGGGCCATTCGGGAAATATCCCTCTCAGAATCCACGACAAGATCCTCACTTGTCCTCGTCCCCCTCTTCCTCCTACCCCTTCTTTTCCTCCTCCTCCTCCTCCTCCTTCCCCTCCCCTGTCGTCTCCGTCTCCTGCTTTGTTCCTCCCCACTGTCCACAGCATTCGCGCGCTGCCCGACGCGCTGCAGCGCCTTCGTGGAAGTCCCCCAGAGGCCCCGAAACGGCCCCCCAGTGGCTTCAAAACTGCACTCCTCGAGCCCCCGAGAGGCGTGCCGCGAGATCCCTATACACATACTTGAAGCCTCTAACTCATAACCCATGACCCAGCACCTTGTCTCCGTGTCCCCCTCCTCCTCCTCCCTTGCCTCCTCCTTCCCCATACACATACCACAAGCCTCTACCCCACATCCCATAACCCAGAGCCTGATCTCAGTGCCCCCCCCCCTCCTCTTCCTCCTCCGCCATCTCCTCGTCGTCCCCCTCCTCCTCTTCCTGCCCCGGTTCACCTCATCCTCTTCGATGCTTCTCCCCCCCATTCTCCGCCTCACCCCCCATCCTTCTTTCCCCGTCCTCCTTTTTCTCCCCAGCACGCGCGCCCGATTGGGCATCATGTGCATGTCTTGCACTTCAGAGTGCCCTTCTTTGCGTCGCGCGGGACATTGTGCGGGTCGGGGAACGCCGACTTCGGTAGTCTCCTCTTGCATGCGCCGGTGCACTGATACCCTTGGTAACTGCGCGCGTTGAACCCGAGTTCCTCGCAGCCTCTGCACACCACTTTGGTTCCTTTCGCCTTTCTATGATGTTCCACTTGCGTCGGCTTCAAGTGTCTCGTGTCTGAGAACGCTCCTCCGCGCGACGCGCACGTCAGTACCTTCGCGTCCGCCTCGGCTTTCCGTTTGCGATTCGCTGCCTCCGCATTCCCCCGTCGTACCTCTTTCTCTCGTTCTTCCGCGCATTTCCGACAGAGTCTTCCGCCCGCAGCATTGTGCTTCTTCTGAGCTTCGGACATCCCCGCCCCCTCTTGGAACTCCGACAGGCAGTCGCCGTTGGAACACCGCAATGTGACCACGCGTTTTTCATTATTCGACGCAAGCGTCGCCCTCTGACGTTCTCCCGCACATTTCCGACACAACCTCTGGCCCGCTGCATTCTGCTTCTTCTGAGATTCCGACATCTCGCCTTGTCGTCATACAGCGACAGGCACTTATCGTTCGAACACCGCACTGTTCCAACACTCTCGTTCCACATCGCGCTGCCAGTGCGCGAGTTCTGTTTCGCCTTGACATCCCTGCACTTTGCGCAGTACATTGTCCGAATCCTTTTCGTCTCCCCGTTTTCGAGCGCCGCGTCCGCGTTCCGACCGCTACCTTGCCGTGCCGCGTCGTCACCCTCTGCTCTCATTGCCCACCCTCTGCACGTTGTGCACCATTTTGCACCTGCGTTTTTCATCTCCTCCGCGCATTCTTTGCAGAGCGCCGGTCTGTCCTTCCTCTGGAACTCGTACTTCGTGAACGCCTCTACCAACAAACTCCGCCAGCAGCGCTCGCACTGGTCTCGTGGCATTAGTTCCGCCCCCCATTCATCGCAATCGAAGCTCTCCCCTCGCAGCACCTGCAGCAGTTCTTTCGCGCCCTACATCTCACCTGCGTTGCACGGTCTCCTGTCAAAAGGCCGGAAAATCAGAAGGTCCTGTCGCCTGCGCACGCGCGCGATGGCAACGTACCTGGACATCCAACTCACGCCGCGCCCTCTTTCAAGGTCAGCTATCACTGCGGCCATGGTCCGGCCCTGCGCAGAGCGCGCCGTCACTGCCAAAGACGGGGTTATCATAAACTGCGTGCGCTTCACACTCAACGCTGGATGTTTCCGATACCCGTCCAAGAACCATTGCCGCCCTTTCGATGGGAAGATCGGATACAGCCCTGGCTCCCACCCTGGCAGGTGCCACTCCTTCGTATGGAAGTTCAACACTATCACTCTCGGTAGATGCAACAACACTTCCTCGTCTTCATCCCCAGTGACCTCGTCCTCGTGCAACGCCCATCCATGGATCGTCGCTGTGCGCCCCCGCAGGGGCTTCTTCTTTGATCGATCCAAGTGATCCCCCAAAGCCACGGGCATCCCTTTGGCCAGTGGCAGCCACCCGGGCAGGCTTGCACACTCCTTCTCGTGGTACCCCAACCAACGTACCTTATCCTCCACCGTGTGCGGCCGCCTCTGTTCCCCCCATGGCAAGGGCGGTCCCTGGCTGCGACCCAGAGCAACTGTTCTCCCCGCTCTTTGGCCCACTGCACAGCTCTCTGCTTCCCGACGTGGCAACGAATGTCCTGGTTCGCATAAATGGCGACAGCTTCTACAAATGTCTCCTCCCGAAACCGCGCGTCTTCTGCCGACGTCGCGACGAGCTTCCTCTTGTCCCGCTCACTTTTGCAAGCCTCGCACTCTAACTCGTTGCGCATCGCAATTGCATCTCTGTCTTCGACACAACGCGCTTTCCCGCGCGCCGGTGCCCCGTTCACCCACGACCCCGGAACATCCGTCGGTCTGCCATGCAAAAATTTGCGCGTACGTTGGGACAACTTTCCTCGGCGAAACTCGCCCTGCACTCCAAGAAACCAGTCGTCCTGGTCTTCCACGCGCTTGCACTCCGTCAACTCCGTCATTCCCTGCACTGCACCATCGCCACCCGCCCCCAAAAAAATATACTGTCCGTGGTCCTCTGTGGCACCCGGCGCGTATTTCCTCGCTTTTTTCAAATACGACGTGGGAAGCGCATTAATGGCTGTCCCAGATGGCGGCTCCAATTGATAGGAATCCCCGCAGAACAGCACATTCACGCCCCCGAAAGGCCTGGTGACGCCGTCTTCACCTACCTTCGTGTCGCTTGCAGCTGACATGCACGACCGCAAGTGTGAGTCTAGCTCTGCAATGAAGTTCGCGCTGACCATGCTCACCTCGTCCACAATCAGCCACTTCCACTGTGACATGCGCTGCGCTGCTTGCTCTTTCTTCGTTTTCTTCTTTGTCTCTGCGTTGGCGTCGCCCGCCGCGTCCTTCTCTTTCGTTTGGTTCACACCGAGCCCAAATGCACTGTGAATCGTATTCCCGTCGAGAGCTGACGCGTTTGTAGCCTGCAACGCTGCCACCTGGAAATCTATGCCGCGCGTCCACCCCAGCTCTTTTTCGAACAGCTCCTTCCGGATCTTGTCTATGACGAAACTCTTCCCAGTCCCCGGGCCACCATGCAACGTCCACACGAAGGGCTGCATATCAGAACCGCTCTGGCCTGTTTCCTTGCCGCTCGCGGACCTCCCGAATTCTTGCGCCAACGCGCGATCTGCCACCTTCTCAACGACGCTACGCTGTCCCGCGTTCAACCCGTTCTCCGCAAGCCCTTCCCTCCATCTCCGCACACTTGACGCTGTTGCTTTCTTGGCCGCCACCACCCCTGGGGCACCTTCCTCCCCGCCCGCGCCGCTGCCTTCTGCGGCCCTCAACGCCGCGGCCGCCGCTTGCGCTTTCTGCACCTCCGCGTCACCCCACCTCAACACACCGCCCCCTCCGCGTGTCTTGCGCTTTCCGTTTACCCGACCAGCGCTCGCGCCCCGCGCGGCGTCGCCCCTGGCCATGGCCTCCCGGCTCCTCTCCTTTTCGCACTCCGCATCTACATTTGTCCGCCAGTCCTCTTTCTCCATGGGCGTACCTCCCGCATGCGTCTTCCGCCTTGTCGCCGCGTCGACAATTCTCGGATCCAGTTCTTCATCGCTGTACAGCTCGTCCTCGTGTTTGACCAGGTCTTCGTCCGTGACTGGTCGCAGATCCACCACGCCCATGTAGTTCTGCACGTGCCTCTTTGTTTCTTCACATGGCATGCCTTTCTTTAACCACTCCAATGACGCCTCCGCCCACGACCCCTGCGCTCCGCGGAAGTCCCGCAGGTGCGGCACTCCACATTCG